GAGTTTTTCTTTCATACGATGGCCGGCCGGGAAGGCCTGGTAGACACGGCTGTAAAGACAGCTGAAACAGGATACATGCAGGTAACTTGAAGAAATGCAAGCCATTAGTACTGGAGCAGCATGCAGGGATCTCTGTGTGTTGGATTACTCTGGGTATAACATTATGCACGTGAACTGTACTTTATCCAGTCTTGGTATTTAAAAGGAAAATCTAGCTGTGTATGTGTTCTGGAAATAGCGAAAACGTTTAATTAGTTTCTAAATCCTTACCCACCTTGTGGATACTTAAGACTGGGTAGCATCATCCACACCAGAGCTCCAGCAGGGAGAACGGAGACTGGACCTACATCCCGCCACGTGTCCTTTAGCTTTGCTCAGCCTGTTTCCTACAAACTGGCGATGGGATAACGCATACCTCCTGGTATCGAGAGGGCGGGGAAGGCTTGGCAGTAAGTTTGTTAATGTTTTTAACTACTTACACCAGCTAAAGGTAACATTCCAGGGAGCTGTGGGCTCTGAACTTGAGGTGTTTTTATGTCCTTCCTATCACCACCGGTAATCTGTCTGAGAAGCATGGCCCTTTGCAAACTGGACACCAGGATAGATAAGCCAGACAGGAATGAATGAGGGACCAGGATAGATAAGCCAGACAGGAGTGAATGAGGGACCAGGATAGATAAGCCAGACAGGAGTGAATGAGGGCCAGACCAGTAAGAGTGGTGAGGCCAAAGATGAACTCCGTTCAGTAGACAGCAACCTTCATAGCCTTTTCTGGTCCTCAGGTGTCATTATTTTTCAATCATTTTTTGATGGGAAGCGGCCCTTCGGTTGTGCAATGTGATGCTTATGTCAGAGACCCGTGACACGTTCTTGGTACTTTTGATTTTATTATTTGTCCTGGCCTTTTTGAAGTAGAATTCCAGTTCTCCCAGAGCAGTGTCAGCCAAGAAAGACGAATTCTACTACGAGAACTTTTTGTATTGAAGGTTCCTGAAGAAAGGTCTCTTTCTTTTTAACTCAGTGAACCACCATCGCAGGACTGGTGGGAGGTTCTCCCTGGGTAGCTTTGAGAAGTTGTTGCTGCCTGCTGGATCACAACAGTGCTGTCTCTGTTCATTTTTCTTTCCCCTCTGCCCTAGTCTGTGCCCAGTCCTCTATCAATCATATTGAAGCCCCAGGAGGCCTGCCTTAGGTGTATTTTAAAATGCAAAGCTGTTAACTGTATACCTTGGGGGAAAGAGAAGGAAGGCAAACCTCCTAGGAAAAGTGTGTAGCTCCCCAGAAGTGCTGGCGGTGGGAGCACATTCTAATTCCACCACATAGACTCCCGAGACACTAATCAGGTGTCCTCCAACTGAGGCCCGTGGGCCATGCGCAGCCCGCCGAGGACATTTATCCAGCCCGCCGGGTGTTTTTGCCCCGTTTGTTTTTTTACTTCAAAATAAGATATGTGCAGTGTGCATAGGAATTTGTTCATAGTTTTTTTTAAAAAACTATAGTCCGGTTCTCCAATGGGTCTGAGGGACAGTGAACTGGCCCCTGTTTAAAAAGTCTGAGGACCCCTGCTCTAGTCGGTGGTGGTCTTGGGGCAAGGGGGTAGTTGACGGATTGCAAAGGAAATGTTCTGAGTGGCTGCAGTGCTGTGACTTAAACCCGAAAGTCGCAGCTCTCACCTGCTACACCTGCAGCGAGTCGTCAGAAAGCTGAGCGGCTGTTTTCTCACCTGTTTCCCTTTAGAGGCGCCTTGTCAAATCCCTCGAGGACCTCTGCTCACAGTATGATTTGACGGTCCGAAGCTCCACTGGAGATATTATCCAGTTCATTTATGGGGGAGATGGCTTAGACCCGGCCGCCATGGAGGGAAAAGACGAGCCTCTCGAATTTAAAAGGGTCCTGGACAACATCAAAGTAAGACTGAGCATTTTTCAGAAGGGTTGTTTTTTTTGTTTTTTTTTTAAAGAATGAAGGACCATTTGGAATATCTAAATGTGCAAAGAATGTTTCTTGCAGAGCAGATAATGGTTTGTCAATGGAGTAGCCTAGAACTATTGAAATGATGGGAAATCCCATGAGATTGGGGAGAAGATATTTTCATTCTTTAATTTCTTCTTTTTTAAAAAGCAATTTATTTTCAATGCAAATCTGAGCATAGAGTAAGGATTGGGACTGATGGAACAGTGTCCTTGCACAGTCCAAAGTCTAGTTTATTCGGTTTTCACATTCATATTTAAAAAGCACACACGCACACACTCCCTGCTGTTGAGTCGATGCCGACTCCTAGTACAGGGCAGAACAGCCCTTGAGTTTCCAAGACTGTATCTGTTTCCAGGAGTAGAAAGCCCTATCTTTCTCTTGTGGAGTGGCTGGTGGGTTTGAACTGCTGACCTTTTGGATCACAGCCCATCTCATAGGGCTCTTTTTCATGTTAAAAGTAGTGTTGAGGATTTGTTTTGAATGGGGGGGAAAAATCACTGGTTTATACTGGGTAATTTTATAAGGCCTGTTTTGTCTTATTTAAATTTATTTGAATATTGCCCCGCTGCTCCCTAGCCCCCACCCATAAAGTAATTTCTCTTTAAAACTTAAGGCAGTCTACCCGTGCCAGAATGAGCCTGCGCTCAGTAAAAACGAGCTGACCCTAACCATGGACTCCATCATGAAGAAGACCGAGTTCCTCTGCTGCCAGGACAGCTTTCTGCAGGTCAGCCCAGCAGTGGATGGGGCCCCCCTAGTTTAACTGTGTGCCGCCAGGTGGATCTTATAAGTTGAGATTTTAATATACATGTGTTCTTATGCTGAAACATTCAAGAATGGCCTCACACAGTCACACCAGCCAGCTTGAAAAATTTATCTCATGTGCTTCGTGCAAATGTTTCTGTGTTTGATGGCTGAGGGAGGGGCAGGGAACTGCTTTTTTAAAAAAAATCAATTAATTGGGGGCTCATACAACTCATCACAATCCATACGTACACCCATTGTGTCAAGCACATTTTTACATTTGTTGCTATCATCATTCTCTAAACATTTGCTTTCTACTTGAGCCCTTGGTATCAGCTCCTCATTTTCCCCCTCCCTCCCTGCTCCTTCCTCCCTCATGAATCTTTGATAATTTATAAATTATTGTTATTTTGTCATCTTACACTGTCCGTACGTCTCTCTTCACCCACTTTTCTGTTGTTCATCCCCCAGGGAGGAGGTTATATGTCGATCCTTGTAATTGGTTCCCCCTTTCCACCCCGCCCTCCTGGTATTGCTACTCTCACCACTGGTCCTGAAGGGATCATCCGCCCTGGATTCCCTGTGTTTCCAGTTCCTATCTGTACCAGTGTGCATCCTCTGGTCTAGCCAGATTTGGACAGGAGAATTGGGATCGTGATAGTGGGGGTGGGAGGGGGAGGAAGCATTTAGGAACTAGAGGAAAGTTGTATGTTTCATCGTTGCTACACTGCACCCTGACTGGCTTGCTTTTTAAAAAAAATCCTATCTCCATCACCAACCCACCACCCACTTTCTTTCCGATCGTGTGAAACAGCGTATTCTCAATCATTCTGTCCATATTTTTTAAAGTCTTAAGACCAGTTTTAAAAATTGTTCTTTTTGTAACCATTTTATGAATCAGAAATTCATTCAGCCTTTCTTACTTTTCCAAGGAATTGTTTCCTTGAGGTAGCTTCCTCAGGTTTTTGTTGTTGTTTTTATTTTGTTGTTGGAGGAGCCTTGGCAGCTCCTTCATAATTATAATATTGGCTGTAATAAAAACAAAGGGACACAAAGATCAGTGAATGATTTCTTTGGGTGCTGGCCAACAGTTCTGGTGCAGCACAAATTCTGCAGGCAAAGCATGAACATATCTCTTGTGCGCCATCAAAATTGACAAAGTGAAGCTTCTCTAAGAATGTCTCAGTTAGGCATCTTCTATTCACGTACTGAGTTGCGGAAATGGAGGTTTTACTGTGTTCTGAATCAGGAATGCTGCAAGTGAGTGGTTTTCCTTTGTTGTTACTTTTTCACTTTCAGGGGCTTCCATCTTCTTTTAACTACAAAGTTGTTATCAGATCTTCCCCCTTGATTATATTGACTTATTTCTCTGTCTCTTCCAAGACCTTAACTGAGACAGGCTATGAAAAATGTAGTGAGGTAATGTGACAGCATTCACATTCCCGTGAGTTCTGAATTCAAAGGAGGCACCTCTAGCAGCTCTTTGCCAGCATCAGAGGGAACAGATTCCTTCTCTCGCCTGCCAAGCGCCGCGTGCCTGTCCACCCCTCTGGACTGCTGCTCTGGGCCTTTGGCAGACTGGAAGGGTGGTCTTTTGGCCCGCGGTGTCCATTTATTGTGTTTGTCTGGCACTCAGTGGGTGCCACACCATCAGGTCCTGCAATACCGAGAAGGAAACACGGCCTCCCCTCCAGCCGCTCACAGCCTGCTGAGGTCGGCTTTGCAGTGAAGCCCAGAATGCACTGGCCAGACCAGATTGTTCTGAGCTCATGAAATGTGCCTAAACCGTAGGTAAGCAACAACGATCGCTCTGAAGTGGCGATGCACCCTGGCCCTGCCGGAGCCTCGGTACTCGTACTCACAAACAAGCTGTGGAGTGTGAGCATTTAACTCATGGTTGGGCATGGCCTGCAAGTTGCCATATGTGAGCTCCCTCTGCATGGGTTGGTTCAGCCGACTTCCTTGGAAGTGTGTGTGAAATTTCATTTCTGCAAAGTGAGCCTGTTGTGTCTTTAAACCTAACTTCAAGAAGACAGGGCCAACCTGTGTGCAAGAACAGTCACTCTTCACTGCAGAGCCACTGGAGACGTGTCAGCTTGTGTGGTTGCTGAAATCTCATTTTAGGGCCTGACATGTTTTTCACATGTGTACTTCTTTTCTAACTCCATATGTGTCCAACATTCCTCACTCCAGAAATCTTTTGGGTCTGCCTGGATATAGGCTTGCACTCTTGGTTCCAGGTGCCATCCAATGAGACCCATGTAAATATGAGAGAACTTTGTATCAAGAAAACAGCCAAGCCCAGTCCAACTCAGATCCATAAGGCCGATACTAACTAGTTCATAAGACCCTTTCAGACTCAGCCAGCCACATGCAGTGGTGCAGAGTGCAGGAAGGTCATGGGCCAGCGGGTGCAGAGTCGTGTGGAGCCAGGGTCGGCGAAACATGGCAGGTCTCCAGTAGCTGTCTGGGTGGCCAGCAAGCAGGAGAATCAAGGCGGGACCAGGGGATTGGGGGCGGGAAGGTCTCCTGGGCCCTCCTTTTAATATATCTTTTTATATATCTTCAAGTTGACATAAAATTATGTAACTATAGAACCCTTAACCCCAGTTAAGGATTAAACGGCCACATTTGGGCCAAGTGGACCTTTTAAGCACTTTCTGCTGAAGAACTCATGTACAGCTAGGGGAATAGACAGGCTGGATAAGGCAGTGATGTGCGTGAGGTTCTTTACACGGGGTGGTGCCAGTGCTTCTACATGCCTGTCAACAACCCCAGCTGGTAAAGGCAAGCTTGCAGGCTTGCTTCACTGCCCTGTCTAGATTTACGTGAGAACATCTATCTCTAGCTTGCAGGAACTGAGAAGGTAGCATCAAACTTGTGACGAGTAAGTGAACGTGGAGAGCTTCTCTTTAAAAAGAGTCTGGACAAAATAATAATTTATAAATTATCAAGGGTTCGTGAGGGAGGGGGAGCAGGGAGGGAGGGGAAAAAGAGGACCTGATGACGGGCTTAAGTGGAGAGCGAATGTTTTGAGAATGATGAGGGCAATGAATGTACAAATGTGCTTTACACAATGGATGTATGTATAGATTGTGATGAGTTGTATGAGCCCCTAATAAAACGAATTAAAAAAAAAGTCTGGAGAATGTTTAAGCTCTTGCCCTTTTAGGCATAGATGGTGGGTAGGGGGACAGCTGAGTGGGACAGCATCCCACCAGGTGTCTCCATCCTTGCTCCGAGTTGGAGAATCAGTCAACGAGAACAGTTGTGAGAAAGCCTTGTTCATGAACAAGAGGCAGTCAGAGTTGTGGTCGACCTTCAAGCAATCCTGTGGAGCTGTTGACGTTCTAGAATGGCACCAGATACCCCTGGGCCAGAGCAGATTTGAAGAAAGTCTCTCCTCCTCTCTTGAGTGATGGCCTATTGCCCTGCTGCTCCTGAAGGGCTTGTTAGGTAGTCTAGAGGAGGTTAAAGAGATTTAATTTTGCAAGGTTGGGATAGAACTAGGCAAGAATCCAATGAAGCACTATACTCTCTATGGGTGCCTTTAGGGCTTTATTTTTGCAAAAGTGGGTTTCTAGTGAGGTCTGCTTTTATCTGTTTCAGCCATGGAAGCTTTAGCTGTGGGATTGACTGGTAGACTTTAGGTAGGACACCCAGGACCGAGGACTTGAGAAGCATGAAGTGGAGTGTTTCTCCATCAGAATACACAGCCCACTCTCCCACCAACTTTCGTTGTATGGGCCGGTCATCAGTCCATGGCACCACGCAGCTGGACTCTTTGAGTTGGCCAGAGTTCTGTTCAAGCCAAGCCACCACTCGTTGTCCAAAAGAATGGAGCGACATTCTGTTTCTAGAAGGGCTCCTGAAGACAAGTGCACTCTACTCCTCTTCCCCATAATGTCCCTGGAAACCACGGAACTGCTGATTTCCTGGGTCTGCATCCCATCAGCCTGTGTGGATTCCTTTTACTCCACGGTGCAGTTCCCCTGACTCAACCTGGGAATTGCTGTAAGACACTCCCCATACATAACACCACATGACATGGCCCATTGTGAGCATGGTGTTGAGTGGCTGTATTAGTCTAGGTACTTTGGAGAAACAAATCCACGGCGACTCACGTATAAGAGAGAGTTTTATGTAAAGAAAAGGTGCATCACGAAAACATCCCAACCCAATGCTGCCCAAGCCCACAAGTCCAACATTAACCCATTAACCCAACACCAGTCCACAAAGTCCTTCACCTCACAAAACAGAGGCAATGATGCCGACTGCAGGAGGAAAGCTGAGTCAGTGAATGTGTAAGCATCTCAGCACTGGCAGGGGTCTGTCTCCACACGGCTGCTCCAGCACCCAGGGCTGCATCGGGATAGATCCATGCGGCTTCTCCTTGGGGATGTCTTGTAGGAAATCCATCTTGCAAGCTGAAGCAGGGAACTGCTAAGGCAGCTGCACCCGATGCAACCATCACAAAACAAGAGACCCGAGAACTAGAAAGGCGAGGCTTCACCACCCATTTATCCCTCCGCCTTTCAACCAGCCCCACATGTGATTATCGGCCAGGCTGGCACAATTAACTAACTCAGTGGCTATAGATCATTGGATTGTGACCCCCTTCTCTGTACGGGCTTCGCCAAAGCAGTTGCCTGATCTTGGTACTAAGAAGGATGGGAAGGCTGCGGAGCTGTTTTATTTCGTAGGCGCTGCATATTGTAAGTCAGATAATCTTCCTGTTAGGTCACTAGGAATCTCGTGAAAACGGTAGTCTCTAGCTGCCCTATACGTACGCTTTTCCCCTTCTTCCTCCTCGTTTTTGTCATCTTTTCTGGGATGTGGACATGAGCAGTGCATTCCTTAGACAGACAAACATGCTCTATCAGAACCAGGATCTGGAGTGCATCCTTTTTAGGCTATAGCTAAATAAGATGGACTTGTCATATATTATTACTAAAGCATATGACCGGAATCGTGTCACCCAAATTATTGAGAAATATAAAACAGATGTTGGCTGTGTTATCTTTCAGGAAATAAAAAAATTCATAAAGGGAGTTTCTGAGAGGATCAAGAAAACCAGAGATAAATATGGCATCAATGATAACGGCACAACAGAGGTAATAGCCTTCCTCGACATTGCTGGCACAAGCCATCTTCAGAGACTGCCATTTCTAATTCTTTATTTCTGTTCTTTCAGCCCCGGGTGTTGTACCAGTTGGACAGGATCACTCCTACCCAGATAGAAAAGTTTTTGGAGACCTGTAGGGACAAGTATATGAGGTAGGGATGTTAATTATCTGAGAGTAGAGGGCATTCACTTCAGTCTGTCATATCTGCTGACACCTGCCCCCTCAAGTACAGAATCCTACATCGGTGCTTTATGGTGACTGCCAGCAGAGACACGTGTACTTAAGCAGCGTCTGTCAGTCTCTGTCTAGGGAGCTCAGTAGGTCTGTAGGTGGGTCTCTAGGCTGGGCACTCCATATCACATTATATTTCCCAAAGGGTTCCTGACAAGTGCAGTCTAGCCCCTCTTCCCTTTCATATCTCTAGAAACCAACTGCTGATTCCTTGGGTCTGCATCGTGCCAGCCCATCAGGATTCCTTTCATTGTAGAGTGTGGTTCCATTGGCTCAACCTGGGAAGTGCTGTAAGAAATGTCCCATTACACCAGTGAGCATGGCGTTGAAATGTGACCCACCTCCTCTGTGAGAGCTTCCCAGATGTTGCCTGATCTGACACTGGGAAGGATGGGCAGTCTCATCCCTTGGAAGGTGTGGAAATAATTACTAAGAGATTTCTAAGTATATTTTCCCCATAGAAAAATTCCCAACATATGTCAGAGTTTTGCTACTCTGTCTACCTTTCATACCATTTGTTAGCAGAGCACTTAGATCATTCTAGCCATCGACATCATGGGCCCGATCACCACACACAAACCAAAGCATGTCATCATCCTTTTTGGATTCCCTTTTCTGCACCTATCCCTAAATGGGGGTCCACACTCTTCCTCCAGCACAAACACAACCTGGCTCCTTATCAATAAGTCCTTCCTGGACTTAACACACATGAGGTGACTTACAAAACTTTTTGGGAGGAGAAATCCATTATCTTTTCATTCCAATTTCCCAGATTTCTTGCAGTCCTCCCATGCTTTCTGTGCAAAAGCAATAATCAGAAGCCTCTTCCTGCAGTTTGCAGACTTTTCATTGCCGCATTGTATATCCATTCATGTTTTCTCTCCCCAGAGCCCAGATGGAGCCAGGTTCGGCAGTGGGTGCGCTCTGTGCCCAGAGCATTGGGGAGCCAGGCACCCAGATGACCTTGAAGACTTTCCATTTTGCGGGCGTGGCCTCCATGAACATCACACTCGGTGTGCCCCGCATCAAGGAGATCATCAATGCCTCCAAGGCCATCAGGTGCTCAGCCGCCAGTGCCCCGTTGCTTGGGAAAGTGATATTGTCACATGCATGTGTGTGTGTGTGTTTGGTAGTGTGAGTGCTGGTGGCATGGTAGGTCACATGTTGGGCTGCTAGTCACAATGTCAGCTGCTTGAAACCACCAGCTGCTCAAAGGAGACAGATGAGGCGCTCTCCCTGTAGAGAGCTAGTCTCAGGAACCCCCAGGCAGTTAGTTCTACCCTG